AAGAAGCAAATTTACAGCCGTACCACTTATGGCCAATTATGGGACGGAGTTCCGGAATCAGCCGATTATCTGGCTATCATCTTCGAAGAATACGACGGCGTGGGAGTTCAGGTAGAGCAAAAAACACAAATCTTGAATATCTAAGAAATATAATCATAACTGGTCATCTTAGCTCTATTTTTCTTTAATCAGTCTTTCGAAATAGTTTCCAAATAGCCAATTATCTCTTTTTCGTTGTCCCAGTTCTCTAACTGGAACTAAGAAACTCGTTTTATCTTTAAAAGCGTTTTGCTCTTGCGCATCTCGTATTTGCAAACTTTTGCATTGTTCAATTGCTGCGATTTTTGAGCGACTGCGCTCCCAAAATGGTTTCCCGAACCATAATTGTCTGAGCGATCGAACATTTACGTTTTTGCGAAATCAACTCGTCACGTGAGAATTTAATGGGGGGATAATCATTCTTTCTCTATGAAAACAGAAAAAAGTGTCCATTGGAGAGCTTGGTGATTTGCGGGAACCAAACCCAAAAAACTTTGAGATTTTCAGTTCATTTTGGATTTATCTTCACGAAGAAGTATGGTTGGAGCGAGAAGGGCGCTTTCGAACTCGCCATTGGTGCAGATGCTTAGAATCACTGAATTTCCAACGGTGGCGTTATTTCGAAGAGACCATCAGCAAGCGCTCTATATGCAAAGGTCAGTTTGTCAGTTATGCAACAAAAGCAGGGAAATAGAAAAACTTAAAACTATGAGAATTCAAGAGAATTCGTTTTTTTTGCGGTGCAGGACTAGAAATTTCTCATATTTCAATGCTTTTCATAGAGCGAAGGACTGATTTAATACTTAAACCTTTACATAAACCTTTTTAGGTTTACTAACCGTACCTACATTGATCTTGACAACATTATTATGAATGATGCTCGAAACTCCCATGCCTTCACGTTGCCTCCCATCGCCATCACAACCACCACACCTCCACTTACAACCACTCAGCCTTCTTTAATTGACTGCAGCAGATATCCGGACAGGTAGATTTAAAATTTTTTGAATCAAAATGCTGGTAATTGGTAAGAATTTGCTTGAAAAATATAATAACTTTGTCGGGATACAAAAATCGGGCAAAGGACTACAAATAAGTCAAAATGGAGAAAATCGCATGAGATAGGAGCTTTCAATCAGCTATTATAGATACTTTGTCCAGCTCATGGTCCAGTAATTCGAAAAGGGTCCAGTTTACCTAGTTGTGGTTTTAATGAACAAATTCGCT